CTTTAGCAGCAATGCACTCGCCACAATTGGCGATCCACTCCGTAACTGATTGACGACAACCAACCCAATAAAATCTTTGTTTTAATTTCACCAAGTTTTTATTGATACCCATGTGTCCTCCACTTGAACCGTTGTGCAGCTCGTTGAGAACTTCAGGAATTTTTACTTTTCGAACAATCATCAGAGCTGGTGAACTTTACCCATCTTCGCTTTCCCATACGCGATGCAGGCAGCCAGACACTAATTTTAAACTATTCTATTGTGCCCAATAAGCCTTAGCGACTGGGCTTTCTGCAGCTATTTCTTCTCCCGTTGGACGTTTATTCATCTCCAATCCATGTATTACACTTTTCAAATCTGGATCCTCTTGCTGACATTTCCGTAGCTTCTCCGGATCCCAGTCTGGTATTATAGTCATTAATCGGACATCTATAATGTCTTCTTTGGCCTCAGCTTTGCGTTTACGTCCAACTTGATTATTTGGCTGGTTACAGTTGCGTGCAATATGGCCACTTTTTCCGCAGTTGAAGCATTTAAGCACACCATCATTTTTCTTATGCGCTTCCGTAGATTTTTCCAGTGCTTTCTGCATGTTGTCCATTTTTTCAAGTAATTGGTTCACCCAAGTGTGTTCCTCTATTTCTACTTTGTGAGCTTTAAATGTTTGATTACAAAGCAGAGATGCAGTTTCCTGTGTCAGAGCATACGAAACGGTTTCTGCAAACGTTAATTTTGGACATGCTAATGCAGCGAATCGTGTAGTGTTATCTCGTATTCCATTGACGAAAGTCTGAATTTTCGTGTCCTCGATGTATTCCATGGATTTATGTGCATAAGCTAAGTGAGCTAACCTCTCAATCTCTGTAGAAAACTCCTGCAAAGACTCATCGGCTTTCTGGCGGCGATTTCGCAACTCGATTTGAATGATCTGCTTCCTGTGCTCACTACCATACCCTCTTTCTAATGCACCCATCAACGTTTCATAACTACTCGTCTCGCAGTTTGGAATGGTCTGTAATATCTTCGCTGCAGAGCCTTTTAATGCAACGAACAATGCAGCTACTTTATCTTCAGCGTTCCAATTATTTGAAGATGCCGTCTTTTCGAATTGAAGCTTAAAAACGTGGAACGGAACAGTGCCATTAAAGGATGGAGGTTTTTCCTTGGCAGAAGCTGTGAACACAATTGGCTAATTTAATTGTAGCTCGCGGAGACGATCTTTTAATTCATCCATTTCAGTTTAAATTTCATCCCGTCACCTTTGCTGATATATGTGCATCTTGCGCTGCAAACTGCTCTTCCAACTGTGAGGACACCCGTGCTGATATACGGGCATCTTGCGCTGCGAACTGCTCTTCCAACCGCGTTTGTAACGAGGACGATTGGGATTGTTGTGTCAACATTTGTGATGACACCTCTGCTATTTGTTGGCTTATACGTGCATCCTGCTCTTTAAATTGTGTCGACATTTGCGATATTGCAACAAAAACCATGTTTATGTCCACAATCTTTGACAAGCATTGATCCTTTTCCTTTTCTTCTATCTTTGTTGTCTCTTCTTCTAATTCCATGTGAAAGACATATTCCTCAACATTAATGTTTTCCGCCTCCATGGCCTCTCTCAACCGTGATTGTAATTCAGTTTTTAATCCATTTGTCGCCAAACCACGTTGGTCCAGCTCCTTTTTCAGTTGTGGAATCTTCAGATCGTTAAACTCGGCCATTTTTAAATAATTATCTCCTTGGGAATTTATTTGACAATCCCACTTCTGACACCAATTGTAACGGATTTCTCGATAAATCGTCTACCTGTAACTCACTCTTGAGTTCGATCACTGGATTGTTAAATAAAAGTCCCAATTTAATGGTTATACACTTATCTTTATTTCTATTTCCAACAACTTAACACCTATTGCTCGATATTCGAGTTTACAACTTATTGCTTATAGCTTAATTACTCTTTACACGACACTGTAATTAGAACTGTGTCTGCTGCACAATCCGACAGCCCTTATATAGTAAATTCTTAACAAAAGTTCGCTACTAGAACATTCTGGCAACTACGAATTCGCTGTATAGTTGCTTCTGACAGTTTATCGTCGATTCTGCTTTGTTCTGGTATTCGTGTTCGCCACTATATGTTGAACGTGTAGCAGTCGCGAAATACTGAACGTAGACTGCCGATAAATTATCGATAAACGATAAGTTTAGCAAGTTTTGAAAACAACTTCTCAACTAAATAGCATAATTCTTATATCGTATATTTATAGTATATGCATCGTAAAGGGGGAGTAGAGAAAGAATCAGCTGATGGATTTAATCAATGCTACAGCTGAGAGGGGTCCATGGAGAAACATCAAGTCCGCCTAGGGGTTGAGTTTCTATTGAAAGCCAAGATGGCCGACTTTTAACCCGAAAATGGTTGCATTTTGCTTTTTTCTCTTAATTTATGAAAAAGTTGTCCAAAAAATATTGATTATATGTAAAACTTTAATATGTTTTCAAAATAAAATAAGTTTATTTAAATATATGTTTTTAAAAAAGCGACTATTATTGGCAAATTTCAGAATAATTACGATATATATTAATGCCTTTTTTTTACTGTGGTAACTTAATAAATATTCACCACAGAAAAATGTAAGGTGCAATTAAGCAACCATGTCAAATAACGGCATGCGGAAAATGCTTATTCAACGAAACTGAGGGCAATGTTTATAAATTTGCAATACAATCTTCGTAAAATAATGAATATTTCATATTGCTCCTGATAAAACTGCTCAAAAAAGAATTTTTATCAATAAGCAGGTGTGTATTAATGCGTTTGACTAAAAGTTGTTAATAAATTCAAATGCCAGTATTGCTATTGAGCATTGCATAACAGTGTTGCACAAGCTAATTTTATAATACTTTTTAAAAAATAAATATATCTACCGTATTTTATACCCTTATAAAATGTTTTATACTATAAAGATATTGCAACTTCAACAAATTATTTATTTTAGGAGTCTATATCTTTGAAAACTAAATTTAGAACTATAGAACAATATGGTAATTGATTTATGTAAAGAGTTATATGTAATGTAATATTGTACATATTATAATGGCTACAGGCTGAAATACAGAGACAAATACCTGATATGCCTACCGTATTTTATACTATAAAGATATTGCAACTTCAAAAAATAATTTATTTTAGAAGTCTATATATTTAAAAACTAAACTTAGAACTATATAATAATTTGGTAATTTTGTGTGTCAAAAGTTGTAATAAACTATTGTACATATATCCACCATTAATTGCTGATATATAAAACGTAAAAAATTTATTTAATTTGTGATTAAATAAATATATACTTAAATTAGAGCACTAGTAAAATTTCTTGATATTATTACAATGATAAATTTTGCTTTATTGTTTAAATGAATTATTATCACTTGTATGGCTATGATAAGTTTTGCTTTTTTGATTATATAAATTATTATTACTTATAGTATCAAATTTAGTTACAATAGTTATTTCTTCCCGTCCACTCATAGTTAAATTAAATTTTCAGTTTGCCCATTATTAAGTTATTTAAAATGATTAAAAATATGCCGCATATTTACCTATATGGTATGATATTATATATTGTTAGCATTAAACATCAATTAATAACCAAAATTTAAAATATTTATAAATAATTATTTAGGCGTTTTCTGCTATGCGCAACCCGTTTTAGCCCCTCGCTACCCTAACTCACCATGGCCACCATGTTGGTTTTATTGTGAACGTACACCTCAGAGGTGGCGAAACTATTGTGAATGAGTCTTTCGCTACTCCCAATTACCATGGTATATGTTCAATGTTAAGTTGCGTGAATTTGTGGAAAAAACGTTGTATATAAGAATTTCTCCGTACTGCCCGGTAGACGTACAATTGAAATGATAAAGGCTATTTTAGTTTTTAACAACCACGGAAAGCCTAGACTTTCGAAATTCTATCAATATTTTGTAAGTTACTATAAATATTTGGCAACGTTTTTATTTATTATTCTGAATAATATTAGAATGAAGATATGCAACAGCAAATAATAAAGGAGACTTTCCAGCTGGTTTCTAAACGAGAAGATAATGTTTGCAACTTTTTAGAAGGGGGAAGGTGAGTAAACCTAATTTAAATTGTAAAATATTGTTTTTAATATCTTTTTAAGCCTTATTGGTGGGTCAGATTACAAATTAATATATCGTCACTATGCAACGCTTTATTTTGTCTTTTGTGTGGATTCATCTGAAAGCGAATTGGGAATTTTAGACCTTATCCAAGTTTTTGTGGAAACTTTAGACAAATGTTTTGAAAATGTTTGTGAGTTAGATTTGATATTTCATGCTGATGCGGTACATCACATTCTCGCTGAGCTAGTAAAGGGAGGAATGGTTTTGCAGACAAATATGACCGATATATTAGCACGAATCGAAGAACAAAATAAACTAGTGAAGCAAGAAGTAAGCTGTTTATACATGTTTTGGGTAAATTTTAAAATAGCATCCCCCGACTTCGGGCTTAAATGTGTATGTACGGATATAAGGGGTTCTCCAAATTAAGAAAGTACATATATACTTTTAGTTGCCACTGACTAATGGTTTTTGATATATTTACATTTAAAGTTCCAAAATCCTATTTAAAGTGTGTCTTTTTCTGATTTATGTTGAATTTTGCCCTTAAATTTTTAATTATTATTACACTACTGATTTATTTCTTCCCATTTATTTTATATTGAATGGTCCAAAAATAATTTTAATTCAATATTTAACTTTTGTTCAAATTCAATTATTCACACAATAACAAAATTGTTGCATGCAATACAAAATTCATAACGGGTGGGCTTTAGTTTAGCATCCCACGATTTCAGGGTTAAGAGGCGTATGGTTGGATAGAGGAGATTCTCCAGATCACGAATATATATAATTATTGCCGCCGGAAACTTATAGTTTTCGAGATATTTGCATTTTAAGTTGAAAATTTCACAAAATTCATTTTACAATTTCTTGATTTATGGTTATATTTTCTTTTATATTATGCACTTATTATACACTAACTTTTCACATCAGTGTTTCTACATATTTATTTTATATTAAATATTTAAGTATTTGCTTTAAATAAGCATTTAATTTTTACACAATTTTAGTAACATGAACAATAACAAATGGGTTCCATGTTGTCAGATAATAAGTGTTGCCATATCTATTATNCGTCTTGCTGCATGTTGAAACGCAACAGCCTCTGATATAATTGTACTTTCCGTACAGGCCCAATTTGTGTGTGTAGTCGCTTTAGTTTTTTTTTTTCCAAGCTGCTTCTGCCGTTGTGCACGCCTTCATGTGCATCAACTGAGTTGGTTTTACGTTTAACACCATGTACGCCAGTGCCTTTTGATATAGCGTATCCCAGTTTTCTGCTTCTAATGCATTTTCGTCTTTTCTCACATATTTTCCACACACAACTTTCCATAAGTCTGCCGTTACGAGAAGACTTTTCATGGCCATGTGCCATATTTCATAGTTGTCGTCATCAAGTTTTTCGATTTGAAGCGACATATTCATTTTTGCTTATTTTACCATGTTAATTCGCGCACAACATTAACTACAAGTAATATCAAACCGTGAGTTACAGTAAAACGAATAGTTAATTTTTTTTCTTTTTTTTTTAGACCGACACGTTCTCTACTGGGCCCATAACCTATTGTAGTAATTTAATAACTGTTGTAATAATCAAATCTATTGCTATAGCAAAGCATCGACTTATGCTGAATACCGAGTTGCCAGATTATGTGTTTGCTTATGTTAACATCTGTTACATTTTCAATAGATAGTATTCTAAATCGCAGCCCATATCTTGATATGGACCAATATTAATCAAAATATTTTACTTGTAGGCAGGTATATCTGCTGCCCCCGCACGTGCAGTGAGTGCTGTTAAAAGCATGAACATTCCTCAACAAATAAAGGATATAAAACTTCCCGATTTACCCCAAGCGATTAAAGATTTAAAATTCTGACCGACTCAAACTTCAGCAACCTTAATATTGGACTCATTTACTACCAGCAATGGGTCGACTTCTTCTATTAGTTCAACAACATTCCCTACGTTGTCAACTACAGATATCGATTATTATACATTTTTGCGTCAAAATACGTACGAACTAATTGATGACGAATATGATGTCAACATATCCACTCCATACATTTTTTCCTCAACTAGTTGCAATTCCGATTGCTATCAAAGAGAAGCCGGTATAAGTTTTTTTTCATTGGAGACAAAAAATAATCATAATGACGTTAAAATTGAACCTAAAAATGGAATGGAAAATAATATGAAAGATGATGAACAGTTGATCAATATATCTGGCCAAGAAACCCCTAAGCGAAAGAAAAAACAAGTATCGCTTATTTGCAATAATCGCTAAGTAATTATTTTAGCGTGCATTTGAATAAACCACGTTTATTTAAAATATACAAACATGAATTTATAAAATATGGATAAACAACGCGTGGTAACCGCTTGAAATATTAAAATTCTTAATTTTACTCATTCAAAACAATACAATTTACTTCAACCCAATTTACTTGTGTTTCAAATTGCTTTATAGAATTCATTAAGGGAGTATTCTGTCTAGAGCTTTTCAGGTAATTTTTGAAGTGTCGTAAAAACAGGCAATATTTTTAATATCAATTTTTCTATTACTTATTTATTAACATGACAAGAACACAGGAAAAATTCAAAAAACAAAAGAACATGTGGCACTCGGGTACTGCCGCGGTAAAACTATTGCATAGCCTTTTTAATCCACTTATGCAATTATAATCTATTTTTATGCAGTATTTTTTTTCTTTGATATTAATTTAAGGTTTTTCTTTGATATTAATTCAAGTTACACTTTTTGGGCGTGGTGACCGATTAGAAAACATTTTTTTCTTTAACTGAATAAATGAGAAGTTAATATTGTTTAAAATGTTTTTATTATCTTACAATACATGTAGGTTATTCAGGAATTTTTATCATTGAAACTATAGGTTTATGGTAACTGAAATAAGAAACATAAGTTTGAGACTTGATATCTTCTAAATATTTGGAAAATACCGTGTCAATGGTGGTCCCATATTTTATTCTGCATTCTTGTGGATCATTATTAATTTTTAAATTTAATTTTTCCGAAAAGTTGTCAACGGCTCTGATTTTTTATCAGCGAAGTTGATGTTGAAATCGCCAGCCATGATAAGTGGAAATTGATCAATTGATAATCCCATCGAAATACAAAATTTCAATTATATTGCTCAATTCAAACGATATACTGTTCCAAAAGGTGGGGTAGCTATTTACCAAAATAATAGTAATGTTACTAATATTATAACTCCGAATACTGAACAATTTATTTTTATTAAATTCCATATTCTTATTTGCTATTAAAAAAATTTCATCTTAAAGATTATTAATTTTGAATCGCCCTGTTCTGTATCTTCAATTAATTTGTTCAGTTTGAGATATGCGAAAATACGCCTAAAAGTATGCAAACATTTTGCGCATACTTTGTGATCGTGTTAGGTTTATTTTCATTACGGAATTTCTTGATTCGGTCGCCGCGCTCAAAGCCCGAAGATTGTGTACTCTCGCAACTTGCAAGGATCAAAGCAGGAGAAATTACCATTTTTGACACAAAAACATACTATTATCGAGAGTTTCATTTATTTATTTTATTATATGAATTTCAATATATATCTTACACCTTGACCGATATTTTCGGTAAAAAGTCAACTATATTCACTGGTCCACAGATTCAGTACTTAGGGGCTTGAACATTTTTGGTTCGATTTAGACAATTTTTGGACACACGCTTGATTTGCATAGTGGAAAGTGAAAGGATCAGATAGAATTTAAAATGGTGTTGTATGGGAAATGGGCGTGGTTGTAATCCGATTAAGCCCGTTTTCGCACTATAATATAGAAATATGAGAAGAATGGAATGTCATACCATTCCAGAGATAAAATTTGATGTCTCTGCCGTGTTTAGAGCTTGATTTATCGCGCTTTTAGTAGTTCTAAGTATCTAAGAGTACCATTATATGGGAAGTGGGCGGGGTTGCCACCCAATTTCACACTGTCGATAGAGGTGCTAAAACCATTGCTTTTAGTGAATTTTGTTATCATAGCTTTAGCGGTTTAGAAGATATGCACATTAAACATATTAGAGTGCAGGATCACGCCCACTTTTTAAACAAATTTTAAACTGCAGATGCTCCTCCCTTATGTGTATACCAAATAACAGTTGTATCTTATTGTGGAGCTTAGTTATGGCAATTTATTTGGTTTTGATTAATGACGTTTTGTCGTGGGTCCGATTAGGCCCATCTGCAATACCAACCGCCTTACTGTACCAAGAAATATGTGTACCAAGTTTCATAAAGATATCTCAATTTTTACTCAATTTACAGCTTGCACAGACGGACGGACGAACAGACAGTTACTCGGATTTCAACTCGTCTCTTCATCCTGATCATTTATATATACAGTGGGAGCACAAATGAGTACATGTTTGTGATTCGTATATTAATTACTGAATAATGATAGAAGTAGCAAAGAAAATTTTCAAAGTTTTTTCCCTTTAGTTGATGTTTAATTCTAAACAAAATAATTAATAATAGAAAAAAAAAATGCAATTCTAAAAAAAAAAACTAAAACAACAAGTTTTCAGAAAATAGCTAATTTTTAGTATTAATCCATAACCCTTTATTACACACAACACTTTGTACACGGTTTGGTATACTTTCCACCAAATTCTGTATAATTTCATTTGGAATGCTATGCCATTACCGCTGTATTCGTTGCCAAAACAAAAAAATTTATTTCGAGATATTTACGTTTAAAATTGAAAATTTGGGTCGGCTTTAGTTACGCATCCCACGATTTCAGGGTTAAGAGGGGTATGGTTGGAAACTAATAGTTTTCGAGATATTTGCATTTTAAATTGAAAATTTTTATTTTACAATTTCACGATTTATGGTTTACTTTTCTTTTATATTATGCACTTATTTTTTTCTTTTATATTATGCACTGTATAACTTTTCTTTTATATTATGCACTATTTATATTATAACACTTAACACTTCACTTCAATGTTTCTACATATTTATTTTATATAATATTAAATATTTAAGTATTTGCTTTAAATAAGCATTTAATTTTTACACAATTTTCGTTATATGAACAATAACAAATGGGTTCCATGTTGACAGCTAACAAGTGTTGCCATATCTATTATATATATTGTAACGGATTTCTCGATTAATCGTCTAACTATAACTCACTCTTGAGCTCGATCACTGGATTGTTAAATTAAAGTCCCAATTTAATGCTATACACTTATCTTTATTTCCAATTCCAACAACTTAACCCTTATTGCTCGCTATTCGAACTTACAACTTATTGCTTATAGCTTAATTACTTTTTACACGGCAACACTCTAATTAGAACTGTGTCTGCTGCACAATCCAGCAGCCCTTATATAGTATAACAAAAGTTCGCTACTAAAACATTCTGGCACCTACGAATTCGCTGTCTAGTTGCTTCTGGCAGTTTATCGTCAATTATGATTTGTTCTGGTACTCGTGTTCGCCACACTGCCCTCTACCTTAGTCTGATCGTCCCGATTAGACATATTTGCGGTACCAAACGCTGCAAGCCGTTCCAGATGAACCAGCTTTATTTTATCCCTTGGTCTTCCAATGTCTGTATGCGATACACTACATCATTGAGTCGTTTAATAACCTGGTATGGTCCTTCCCAATTACACTGTAATTTGGGAGACAGCCCTTTCTTTCGTTGTGGATTATATAACAATACCCAATCGCCTTCAATAAAACCCTCAAAGTTTATTGCCTTGTCGTATTTTGGTTTCATCTTATCGCTCATAACTTTGGTGCGCTGTCTCACCATAGCATGTATATCCCTCATCTCGTCTTCTAGGATGCTATTGAATTCCTTAGTATTCCTTCCTTCGTTGGCGTTAATTCCAAATTTTAAATCAATCGGTTGTCGAAGATCATTACCAAAAAATTACCTTTACTGGAGTCTGCCCCGTTGTTTCATGTACAGCAGAGCGATAAGCCATCAGGAACAAGGATATATGGGTATCCCAATCTTTCTGATACTTGTCCACAACTTTCCTCAAATGTTCTTCCAAAGTTCGATTGAATCGTTTTACCATGCCATCGACCTGCGGATGTAGTGCAGTTAAACGGGTTTTCCGGATACCCAGCTTCTGGCATATCCCCTGTATTAGAGCTGATTCAAAATTTCTTCCTTGGTCAGAATGTAATTCTATTAGAACACCATATCTTGATACCCAATTGTTGATGAATACATCCGCTACTGTTCCTGCCTCTTGGTTAGGAATTGCGTATACCTCTGGCCATTTGCTGAAATAGTCCATGACTACCAAAACATATCTGTTTCCTAATTGACTGATAGGAAATGGACCAGCTACATCCATGGCTATTCGCTCAAACGGCGCACCTGAATTGTACTGCTTCATCTGACCACGACTTTTGGACCGCGGCCCTTTAGCAGAAATGCACTCGCCACAATTGGCGATCCACTCCGTAACTGATTGACGACAACCAACCCAATAAAATCTTTGTTTTACTTTCTCCAAGGTTTTATTTAAATAGTTGAATTTTTAAATTTTAAATGCAAATACACCATAAGCGATGTATGTATTTTCTTAATCTGAAAAACCTTCTCTGATACCCATTTTAATGCCGAATTCGGGATAGTGTTGTAGTAATTTAATAACTGTTGAAATAATCAAATCTGATGCTATACCAAAGCATCGACTTGTGCTGAGTACCGAGTTGCCAGATTATGTGTTTGCTTATGTTAACATCTGTTACATTTTCAATACTTCTTCTTAAGCTACATATAATTAATACTAACAAAAATTCAAATCATGCCAAGAGACTTTACAAAGCCGTTGTGCTTATGCTTATTTAGACATTTTATCAATATATCGGCAATATTATCATTTGTTGTTACATACTCTAATACAATATCATTTGACTCTACTTTTTCTCTTATAAAATGATACTTTATATCAATGTGTTTTGTGCGCTTATGATGCACAGGATTCTGCGCTATGTTTTGCGCACTTATGTTGTCGCCAAATATGGTCATCGGTTCTGGTTGTTCAGACCACCCAATCTTATGTAGAAGTCTTCTCAAGTATATAGCTTCTTTGGCAGCCATGGATAGTGCGATGTACTCTGCTTCTGTGCTGCTTAACGTGACAACGCTTTGGTTCGTTGGTGACCAAGAGAACGCACTTCCAGCCATAAAAAATGCGTAGCCGCTGTAGGATTTTCTGTCTTTCTCGTTGGCCCAATCAGCGTCAACAAAGCCTTTTACCGATTCACCAGACTTGCGGTATATGATACTCAGATTCAGAGTACCGGCAAGATACCTCAGAATTCGTTTCGCTGCATTCTCGTGTTCTTCGTGTGGATCTGTGTTTCTTTGCGACAATTTGCTCACAGCGTGCAAAATGTCTGGCCGACTCAGGACTGCTAAAT